ATTCGAAATGATTAGATCGAAATGCGATGTGTGGGGGAGTTTGGAAATTACACCGACGATCTCAATGCGATTTGCCAATCGGTGGCAGCTGCTGCTGTTTGATGTTCTGTTTGTTTATTTGTTTGTTTAGATTTTGGTTTACATATTTGCCTAATCGCTATTACCCCCCGACTAAACCAAAAGCCAAAAACTAAACGCAAACCACCTCAAACCAAATCCAAAACCAAAATCAAAACTGACCCGCTCAAGAGAAGAGGAATGCGTAAACACGAGCATCGGCGAAAGGCGAAAACAATTAAAAAGCCATAAACAACCGAAACCCAAATGAAACAATACGATCTGCAATCTGCTATAGGAAAATTAAAGAGGGGCCGCTTTTCTGACTGACTGCCTCTGACTCTCTGTGCGGTTGTTTATTTAATTGAGCTGGGTAAACAAAAATCCAAACAGGCCACAAGGAAGACGACTGGGAAGGGGGCACTTTAAAATTATTTGCACATTTTTGCGGGTGATTTGTTTTATGAGGGAGAGAGTTAAACGAAAAAGCCATCACACAGATCACTCATCAGGAGATATGTAAATAAATAAGTAATGAAACGCAAAAAAACTTGTACAAATTGAAGGATTTGAAAAATAAATAAATAAACAAAAATGAAATCATTAAAATAATAAAACTATTTCATTATGCATTACCATCAGATAGTTTTTAATATTTCGTGATTAAAAACGTACTGAAACGCAAAAAAAATTTACAAATTGAAGGATATAAAAAATTAAATATTAAAACCAATCTGAGATCATTATAAAAATAAAACTATTTGACTTTTCATTACCACTAGCTAGTCAAGTCTTGTGTCATTTTATTTTTATCATTTTTTGTGCCTGATTTTAATGTAAGTGTAGATCAGTAATTTGGCAATATAGACAACGCAATAGCCAAAGGAGTAATTAAATCAATATTGTTTACACTACTTTTCTGCGGATCTTCAATCGCCACCATAAAAAGTCGTTCGCAACATTTTCGTTTTCGGTTTATTTTCCCAATTTTTTCTTGGTTTTTTTTTTTTTTTTTGCTTATTGTTTTCCAATCTCTCAGCCTGGCGGTAAATGACTGGAAAAGGGCAATGTAAATATTGCGCAGTCTTTTGGAGCCCCATCAAGTCTTAACCCTCCTCCCCCGTCTTAACCCGTTTGTGGCCCCATGGGCATTATCTTGACACGTGCACGCGCCGCGTTTTGTGCGCGTTTTTAAACGCCACCTTATTTGGCTCTTTGTTTCAGAGTCTGCGTCTCCAGTTGAGATTGTCGTCTGCTTTGGTTTTTGGTAGATCAAGAAATCAGCATTTAAGGGGCGGGCGTAAGCCATGTATGTAGATCCGATCGATTGACGATCATTTGAGACGATCAAACAAAGCACAAGACAAGACACTAACAAAAAAGGCTGCCAAAGCTGACCAATTTTAGAATCTTCTCCGATTCCACTTCAAAACGAACAAAATTCACACTCGATTTTTTTTTTTTTTTTTATCTTGCTATAAAGACTTTATTATTTATTTATTATGTTTTGTTGAGAGCTTTCAAATGAAAAAAAAAGGGCAGAGCTGCGTGGGTGTGTCCAGTTTAATTCTCCGCCACCGATCAACCATGAACTCGGCTATAGCCATCGTCTACCGTCTCATTTTTCCTCTCCTATATATCATCATCGCGTTTGACCTCTTAAAGTTCAGTTAACCAAGTGCTGGGCAATGTTTACTACCCGTTAATGCTATAAACACTTAGGGGAAAAATAGTAATTAAAAATGTGTTAATTTTATTTTCGTTCAAGAAATACATTTTTTGATCTACCTACCCTTAAATGTAAATGTTTATTAGCTCAATTTTTTGTTTTAATTTTTTTTTTTTGCGTCATTGCTCAGTAATCTTTGTAACACAGCTTTTAAAATATTTCTATACCCTTAACTGTGTTTAGTTTTGTGTAGCTCTCTAAGAATTCCACGCCCACGACGATTTCCTACTCTTTAACTGTGACTTAAACCACCGATGTCTTCGTCATCAGCCAACTGTAAACAAAACAAAATACAAAAATACAAAAATGAAAAAAAAACATCCAATTCAAAAAGTCGTGCCAAAAGCATTTCAACTGTCTTACGTAACGGACAACCAGCAATGAGCAAAAAAAAATAAAAATACAAAAAAAAAATAAAAACAAAAACCGAAACAGAAGAGCCAGATAAAATTCCAAAAAGGAGAGTAGAAGAGGGCAATAACTTTATTACGATCAGAAAAGACCTTGCCCAATTAGGCAATGTTGTTGTTGTTGTAGTTTTTGTTGCTGCTGCCGAGAAGTGAGGAGTGCAAAAAATTGTAATTTAATTAAAATTTATGGTAATGCAGAGACACTACATTAAGCTGGATGATCGAAACTTTTCATACCCTCTTGTGGCAGAATTATAAATAAAAATCATTATACAACTTTGTATTTTGGTTACTACATCTAAAGTATGCTGTGTGTTCTCCTGTCCATCATATATTTAAATAAATCCCCCCATAAGATGTGCAACATAATGTCTGTTGTCCTGTCCTGTCCCCCTTGTGATTTCATATTCCCAAGCAACATTGTTGCATTATTTCTGTTCATTCTCATCGCGTATGCAAATCGCCTGGCTAATTAAATCAAACGAAAACATGAATCTGAAACCATTGGGGATTGGGGATCGGGGATTGAGTTGAGTTGTGGCCCGACTTCCTTCCATATGTTTATGTTTTGATTTGCAGTTGCTTGCGCTTGCGGCTGCAGGCTTTAAATATTTCAATTTGATGCCGGGACAACTTTTATTTTATGATCCGCAACACTAGACAGTTTGTTGTTTGTTTTAGTAGTAGCTCTGTAGACGTAGACGTAGACTGGCCCAAATGTTGAACACGGCATCCGATTCTAGTCAAGGATACACAGAAAAAATTCTTGTAATGGTATAAAATGTATCAGTTTAATAATTGATTTAATGAACTGAAATCTTGTTGAATAACGTTTTTTTTAAGATTTCCAGTGACAACATAATTCTAATAATTCATGAGGAGAAAGTTAAAATTAAATTACTATAGCAACAGCTTGTTTGTAAAAATTGTCAAATATTAAAAAAAAATTCAAAAACAGTAAAAAAAATTTTTTTTTAATAAACGTTAATATTTTATTTAAAGAACAAACATTCTAAAAATAAATTGCTTTAACAATAGCCTTATTAAATTATTTATTATCGTTTTTAAAAATGTTAAAAAATAAAAAAGATAAAAAAAGGGGACTTTCTTAAACAAAAATAAAAAATAGCAATACCTTTTTAAATATGTATCTGAAAATTGCCATATTATAATAATAAATGTACAAATCTTAAAAATAGTTCTTAAATGATTTTTTCCTCTGTAAGACCAGACAACGAATGTCACTGGAGGAGCTGGAGAAAGCGGGAGGGCAAATAGACGTAGAAAGACAGGAGCGCCCCAGTCCAAGTCAATGTTTGTCGTCCGTTGTTGTCGTCTGTCTGCTGTCGTGTGTCCGCTGTCAATGTCAGGGAATGAGACAGGGACAGTTACCAGGGGCGGTTTTGGACTTGGAGGGGGGCTCTCCGCGAGAACTTTGGCTGCCGGAACGCAGACACAGAACTCTTGACAGGCACAACCAACCGACCAAGGGGCAGGGCGATCTCCGCCAGAGGGGGGCAATTAGAAAACCAGTCCGGCGAAGGCGACGACGGCCAAGCGCTGCTCATTATTGATGGCCAGCCGAAGCCCCTTTTCAGATCGGACGAGCTCATTAGCTAAGTGACCACGATGGGACAATCAAAATGTCATCAAAAATCAGGGATCGATGTGCGTGGGAATATCTATACACTACTGGGCAACTCATATTTCGCTTAATAATTATGACTTAAACTTGTTATGCCAGATAAACCTATAAGAAGGTCCTATAATCAAATTTTTAATTATCAATTGTTTCGTTGCCAACAATCGTAGAAGAAAGCCAAGAATATCGATTTTATCGCTAATGAAAACTTATCGAAAACTTATCATAAGAGTATTGGAATTTTGCTGTAATCGAAATACTTCCCTTTTACACATTCCCATTTAACTGATCGAGGCTTGCGTGATCGTCTTCTTGGCAGGAAGAGGTGGGTGGTGGGTGGTGGGGCTTTCGAATGGGGCAGGAGAAAACGAACCGAACCGAACCGATCTGATCCGATCCGATCCCCGATCCACAAGAGAAGCAGCTGGTCAACTATTTGGTATGCCAGCTTTGTCACCAAAGTTTCTTTCCTCTGACCACCGCTCTTGGCTCCTGTTCTCGCTGCTGCTCCGCCAGTTGTTGCTTTAAGTGTTGGCAATAGTGTTGCTGTTTTAGTTGTTTAGTTGTTTGCCTGTTGCCGGAAGCGCAATTGCTTCATTATGGCACGTACTTTGTCAAAAGGCGTCGCGTTGAGTCACTTTTTGTTCGATTTGTGCACTACAAAAAAAAAAAGAATATTATTATCGGAATTTATAAAATAATGATTGAACCGAAACTACCGATATTTTCTTAAGTTTCTTAAATACATGAATGCCCTGTAAGAACTGGTAAATGTATTTGTATTTTAAAATGTGTCTTATTTCAATGGCACGTATTTTTATTATGTGTAATAAGGTATATTTCGAACTGCTATGATTTTCAAAAGGAAATGGTTATAAATAAATAAAAATTAATGCGAGTTAAAGCAGAAAATTTTACATTTGAATTGTTCTGTTTAAAAAAAAAAGTTTTACCCCCTAGAAATTATGGGACATATTTTTTTCGTAGTGCTTAGTTTTCCACTCCGCAACTCGGCCCAAATCCAAATCTAAAACCACTCAACTTATGAATGAAAAATGATCGGAGCTGGCTCACGCACGCATTGCACTGTGTGGGCTGGCTGGTCGTAACAGAAACCACTGGCTAATCCAATCCAATCCCATCCAATCCAATCCATTCGCAGGGGCAAATTCGCCGCCGTTCGCCGCGCCATCCACAAGAACACGGGCTCGCACTTCGCGGCCAAGTTCCTGAAGCGGAGGCGCCGGGCGCAGAGCAGCGACAAGGAGATCAAGCACGAGATCGCGGTGCTGATGCTCTGCGAGGGCGAGGACAACATCGTCAACCTCAACGCCGTCCACGAGACGCGCTCGGACACAGCACTCCTGCTGGAGCTGTAAGTATATTGCCCAACATATCTATAAACCATATTCCATATCCATATCCATAGGAATTTTGTATTTAATTCATTTTTCAAAGTTACACTAAACCTAAACAAAAATGGTCATAGAAACTAAACTATTGTTACATGAATTTAAAAGTATCAAAATAAAACGTTTCTGGTTCTTAGATATAGAAATTAGACTACAAAGTATACGGATTATTAAGCCAGAAGTAACCACCACTACATCTCGATGTACGTTTAAATAATTTGAAAACTGAAAGTTTTCCTATTGAGCTATATGATAAAAATAATAAAAAGAAGACTTCATTTTTGCTGAAGTAAATTTGTTAAATAATAATGCATTAAGAACAATATTTAATTTGTCAAGACCTGTTGTCAACGCAATAAATAAATTACTTAATCAAAGGCTTTAAAACTTTAAAGGCATAAGACGATATTAAATCTACGTAAATAAAAATTCACTTATAAAACTACTTTTTATTATTGGCAGAAACCTATAACAATTTTTAACAGCTATAGTGTGAAAGTTAGAAGGCAGTTATGATTAGTAGTGTGGTTTATTATAATGAATAGGTAGGTATAGGAATAGGTAATTCCCTAAAGAATTTAGCTTTTGTAAGATTTATTAATTTATTAAATAATACACTGGCACATAAATTGATTTATATGTGTATGATTAGTATGGTTTGTTATAGTGAATATTGGTGATTTGCTGAAGAATTTAGCTTTTGTAAGACTTATTGATTTGTTAAATAATAAACTGGCAACGAAAGTAATGTAATGCTCCTCCTCGCAGGGCCACTGGTGGTGAGCTGCAGACGATCCTGGACAACGAGGAGTGCCTGACGGAGGCGCAGGCCCGCCACTGCATGCGCGAGGTGCTCAAGGCGCTGAAGTTCCTGCACGACCGCTCCATTGCCCACTTGGACCTCAAGCCGCAGAACATCCTGCTCGCCGGCGAGCGCATTGAAGGTGAGTATTGCTCTTCCCTTCCTTTCCCCCAAAAACCCAAAAATGATCAATCAAAACCAACTCTAATGTGTGCAAAAAATCTCCAAATAAAACAGATGGATTGAAGCTGTGCGACTTTGGCATCTCGCGGGTGGTGTGCGAGGGCATCAACGTGCGGGAAATGGCTGGCACACCCGACTACGTGGCCCCCGAGGTGCTGCAGTACGAGCCGCTGTCCCTGCTGACGGACATCTGGTCGGTGGGCGTGCTCACCTACGTGCTGCTGTCCGGATTCTCGCCCTTCGGCGGCGACACCAAGCAGGAGACCTTCCTCAACATCTCGCAGTGCGCCCTCACCTTCCCGGACAACCTCTTCGGCGGCGTCTCGCCGGTGGCCATCGACTTCATCCGTCGCGCATTGCGAATTAAGCCAAAGTGAGTGTTGTTTCGGCCATTAAATAGCACAGTGGGTCAACTTACAGCACTGCAAAGGAGAACTTAAAGCCATCAAAGAAAGCCATCAAATTGTACAAAACTAGGCCAGATTATCAAAAATGTTAAATGTAGTCTTCAATTTCATACAAATTTAAGCAAAACTACAGCCCTGTTTACTATATAAGGAGATCTTAGGACCATAAAACTTGACAACATCATCAAAAAAGTTAGTTATAGTTTAGTTTATTCATACAAATTCAACCAAACTGTAGCATGTATATTAAAACACTTGCAAAAGCAACGTGACAAACCAAACAAGAAAGTTAGCTAAATATAAATAAAATTCGAAACCTAATTGGAAACTATGTGAATTTATAGCCAGTATATTAAATATCAAAGTAGAAATATATTTTTTTGCAGGAACATTAAATTTAAAAAATGGCAGTTTATTTATATTTGAAGTTCTAATAAATGTTGAACCCCCAAGTGTGATTTAAATTGATTTAAGTGATTTAAATCTTATTAATGATATATTCCCATTTTTTCATAGCGATCGCATGAATGCCGCCGGCTGCTTGGAGCACGTCTGGCTAAAGGACGACTGTTCCCTGGACAGACAGATCTATCTGCAGCCCCAGAGCGATGCCGAGGAGGAAGAGGAGGAGGAGGAGGACGACGACGACGATGACGATGACGAGGAAGTGGAGGATGAAGAGGAGCCCGTCGAGGCGCCGGAAGAGGAGGTGGAGGAGCAGACCGTGGAGGAGCCAGCGTCAGAGCCAACCCATCAGCAGCAGCAGCAGCAGCAACAACAGCTGCAGCATCAGCAGCAGCAACAACAGCTGCAGCAGCAACAGCAGCAACAACAACAGCAGCACCATCATCAGCTGGCCAAATCCGGCAGCAATAGCAAACCGACGCACAATGGCCACCATCGGGCGAATAGCAGCGGCAGCATCTCCAAGATACCCATTGCCACCAGCAAGCTGCTGAGCAGTCCCAGCTCGGAGACCACCACGGCCATCCACACGCTGACCAGCAACAGCATCGGCAATAGCAACAGCATCGGCAACAGCAACAGCAATAAGCCCACCCAGATTGTGACGCCGACGCGACGAGCCTCGGATTCGGACAAGGAGAACACATACACGGCCACGTTTGTGAAGAAACCGGTGGCCACCATTCAGCTGGGCAGCTCCAATGGCATCGACGATGCCACAGTGGTGGCCACACTCACCCTCTTTCCCGATGCCCCCACCACGCCCAAGGTGATCCGCAAGACGCCCTCGGGCGAATCGAATGGCTCGGCCACGTCCGTCAAGGCTCTGGTCAAGAAGTTCCAGCTGGAGGACTCGGTGGGTTCGGCATCCATGTGCCGACGCAGTGGGGGATCGGCGGTGAACGGCAGCAGCTGCAGCAGCAGTGGCTTGCATTCGCCCACGTCGACGACGACGACGACGACGAGGATGAACAGTATACGTCGGGCATCGGAGCCGCTTACCACGGTCTACAAGAAGCAGCAGCAGCAGCAGCAGATGCCACAGAATGGATGCAGTGGGAGTCCAAGTCCTGGCAGCAGTCCTAACTCCGGCAGCACCGCCACCCTGCTGATCCACAGCCAGCGTTTGGCCAGCAGTACGGCTCCAGCAACAGCATTAGCAACCGCAACAGCAACAGCCACAGCCACCTCCTCTGCCAGCAACAGTAGCTCCAGCTCCAACTCCAGCTCAGGGAAGACAGCGAGTAATGCAGCCGCCCATCATCTGCACCACCATCACATGCACCACCATCACCATCATCACCACCATCATGTGGTGATTGCGGCCAAGAATGCCGCCGCCGTGGCCGCCACCAACAACCTGAGCCTGGACCAGGGTATCATCTGTTAGCTAAGGGCCAGCCGGGCCAGCCGCAATGCCAAAAGTTTCTTTCATCGCTTCCTGTGCTGCATGTAACCATCAGCTGCCATGGCTACCACAAGCACTAACACGACCACGACCACGCCCCCTCCACCGACCACCGCCCACTGGCAGAGGGCCAAAGCGAATGCAAAGAGGAGGAGCGGCTGCGAAACATCACCTAGCTGCAGGATCACTAGGTGGCAAAGTGGCGATTTAAGGAGCTATGGCTATGGAAATGGAAATGGAAATGAAAATGGAAGTGGATCAGCGTTGGGCAGTCATTGGAGATGGAGATGGAAGGGCAATGGAGATGCAGATGGAAATGGAAACCCGAACTGGAATTGGAATTGGTGCTGCAGCGGGAGATGGAAGTGGTTGTGGAAACGGAAGCCAAACTGGCAAGCCGACGACGACGACGACGACGAGGATGCATTGATTTCGATTTGAGCTTAGTTTAGTTAATGTTTTACGGCCCTAGCATCTAAAATGAGTACTGCAGAGTCACGGTTGCCACTTGACAAAAAAAAACAAAAACAAAAAAACCGTATTGAGATAAAGGAAAATTGAACGTTTTTCGTACCAAACTTTACATTTTTATAAGTTAAATAAAAGAATATTTTAATTATTTTTTGTTAACATAAATGTAGATTTAAACTATAATATCACAGACTTGTTTGGTGGCAACCGTGTCTAGGTGATCCACAGCATCCTCCCTCCCCCCCCACAAACACACACACACTCATAAACACACACACACACACACACTAGAAAAACGAAAAACAACTTAGCTGAAGTCGCGATAAATTCAAATTGTATGCGAAAACTGAAGCAAAACGAAAGAGATGAAAGATAATTGAGATCGAACAGAGCGTTTGGAAGTTGTAGTGGTAGAGTAAGCTGATTTCAACGGAATTTTCGGTAGACATATCATCCATGTTTGTTATACGTTTAGAAGAAACAACAAAAAAAAAAAAAAAACGGAAAGAATAAATAAGGATGAGGAGGATAATAGAGTTCATTGTTTCAACGAATATATATAAATGTCAATTTTCGGCCCACAAGGCAAGAAAGTAAGCCCTTTGGCCTAGCATAAATTATACAACTATATACATTATCTATATACATATGCATACACATATAGACCTATTCATAGCATATATATATGTACCAAAAAATAGGGAGAATCGACGACAGTGTGTCAGCCCGCCATTGGTTATGTAGAGCGTTTGTTAATCGGCCAATCAGTGCATCAATCAGATGATAATCAATCATATAGCGTACAGTGTTATTCGCCTGAAGGGAATGAGAATTTAGAGAATGTTACAAGCCAAGCAAAATTGTTAATCGTGTGTCTCGGTGTGTGTTCAATCGTTCAATCGTTCAAATCGTTGCATAAATGTTGCCTAGAATACATTACATTACTTAGAAGAAGCCACTCAGATCATATAAGGAAGCATCTTGAGGAAGAGAACTAATCGCTTTACTCACGTAGGCCCCATCTACCATTTATCCGATCCCAATCCTGATTCCGATCCAGATCCAGATCCAGATCCCAGATTACCCAGTTCTCCTCGTTTAAAGTCGGTTTTTGTATATATTTCCAGCAAGCAGAATGCAGAATGCAAAATGCAGCCAGCAGCGCATATAATTAAATGTAATTCTTTTTTTTTTCGATAATCATATCTTAAAGCTTGATATACGAGTTGTATTTATTAGGCAAAAGGTTTGTGTGGTCGGCTATCGATGGAGGTCAGTTAATTGTTAAAGAAAAATGCTTAATTTATCGTAATCGATTACCCTTTTCTTTTATATTTAATACTTGCGTGTACTTCTCTTAATTACTATGATTTTTTTTTTTTTAATACACCTAAACCACTTTTTGTGTTTACTGTATATGTACATTAGTAGTTAAAGGCGAAAGCGAAGGCGAAGACCTTTCGGCCACCAACATATAATAAAAACTGCGCCAGATGGAGCGAGAAGTGTGTTTTAATTATTAGTAATTTCAATTGATTTTTTGTGTTTAGAGAATCTATTTCTATGAGAAGACAAACAAAGATGCAAATTCTATTATATATTATATTATATAGTAACTATTTTATAGATAACTAATTTAAAATATATTCAATAAAAACCACAAAAATTACTAAAGTGTTTTGACTACTGAGGGGTAGGGGGGTACATCATAATTTTTTTTCCAAAATTTTATTACGAATTCAACGGTGCATGACATTCTAACTGATGACCATTATTTCCCAGGGTTTTGACACAAAAACCAAGTTTTTAATGTGTTTTTTGGGATTTTTGGCGATTTTTCAAACAACATTTTTTCTGAAGAGTCTTTTTGCTGTAACTTTACCAAAATAAGACCCAAAGTCAAAAGAGTTGCTATTTTGAACAGCTGGCAACCCATACCATCTATCCCTGATCGATTAAAAATAATTTATTTTGTCTTGACGCAAAAACCGAATTTTGAAAAACGATTTTTGACAAATTTATTTTTGTCCAAATTTTTGACTTTTTTGTAAGGGTACATCATCATTTTTTGCCGAAATTCGAAAATCTGAAAAAATTTTAACTGTGAATGCCATTTGATTGGAAATTTTATAACGAATTCAACGGTGTATGACATTCTAACTGATGACCATTATTTCCCAGTGTTTTGACACAAAAACCAAGTTTTTAATGTGTTTTTTGGGATTTTTGGCGATTTTTCAAACAACATTTTTTCTGAAGAGTCTTTTTGCTGTAACTTTACCAAAATAAGACCCAAAGTCAAAAGAGTTGCTATTTTGAACAGCTGGCAACCCATACCATCCATCCCTGATCGATTGAAAACAATTTATTTTGTCTTGACGCAAAAACCGAATTTTGAAAAACGTTTTTTGACAAATTTATTTTTGTCCAAATTTTTGACTTTTTTGTAAGGGGGTACATCATCATTTTTTGCCGAAATTCGAAAATCTGAAAAAATTTTAACTGTGAATGCCATTTGATTGGAAAATTTATTACGAATTCAACGGTGCATGACATTCCAACATTAGACCATTATTTCCCAGGGTTTTGACACAAAAACCAAGTTTTTAATGTGTTTTTTGGGTTTTTTGGCGATTTTTCAAACAAAATTTTTTCTGAAGAGTCTTTTTGCTGTAACTTTACCAAAATAAGACCCAAAGTCAAAAGAGTTGCTATTTTGAACAGCTGGCAACCCATACTATCCATCCCTGATCGATTGAAAACAATTTATTTTGTCTTGACGCAAAAACCGAATTTTGAAAAACGTTTTTTGACAAATTTATTTTTTTCCAAATTTTTGACTTTTTTGTAAGGGGGTACATCATCATTTTTTGCCGAAATTCGAAAATCTGAAAAAATTTTAACTGTGAATGCCATTTGATTGGAAATTTTATTACGAATTCAACGGTGTATGACATTCCAATATGATTTTTGGCGATTTTTCAAAAAGTCAAAAGAGTTACTATTTTAACAGCTGTCAACCTATACTATGCATTCCCGATCGATTGATAAAAATTAATTTTCTTTCGGTACAAAAAACGAATTTTAAGAAGCGTTTTTTGAAAAATTAGTTTTATTTTCCAGTGTTTTTGGAGAAATAAGAAAATAAAGCATTTTCAAAGAGTTTTTGTTTTTTGTTGAAGCTCGGCCAAAGAAAACTGTGATGCTCTTGTACCGCTTGAAATTTGTCCAAAAGATGAAAGCATCCCATCGGCATTTAGTTTTGTGTTGCAGGGTTGTCAATCGTGTATAACTATTCCTCAAAAAATTAAAGTTTGGCCAACAATTTTTGGCTTGCTAAAATGTTGCATACTTTTAAGGGGCCACTGATGGGTCAGTCGATGTTTGGCAACGCGGAAGCCATGTAGCTAAAAAAAAGAAAGCAGTGCACTGCAATTATTGGTCTGTTAACAGCGAGCCCAAAAGTATGCAATATTTTTCAGACTAAATTAATCTAAATATAAATAGGTTACAAATAACAAAAAATAACAAAACGCTCATTTGACACAACTGCGGAAACACAATTGAATCGAAACTCAAGCAAATTTATAGAAAAACATATAGACACACATCTTTATTCGAATACATGACAATTGCTTGGTATAAAAGAAAGTGAGACAAAAAAAAGTTGTATAGATCAGTTAAAATATAAGTAAGTGTCACTAGCGCCAAAGAACGTTTCACGGTACAACAAAGATTCCGCCGCTTGGCACCCACTTTCTATACATCTACTACGCCCGGGCTCTCGCCTCCTCCGTCTGGCCGATCCGATGGTTAGAAGTGGATATGGATTTGGATGTCGATGTGGGAAGAACAAATGCTTCGAGATTGCTGATTCCACTTGAACACTCGCTGAGGGGAGTTGCAAAAGTTTGCGGGAGTTGCCGAGTGGGCGTGGGTATGGGTTTTGGTTGGTTTTAATGCTTAAATGCCGCGGTAGGACCGGTGGGCCAAGAAGGCGCTGATGAAGTACAGCACCGCATTGACCAATCCCAAAACGCCGGCCACCATATAGGCGTCGTGCTTCACGTCACGCAACCGGATCAGCAGGAAGGTGGACGAAACGAGGATCAGGATGGCGGCAACGCTGTGGTAAATCAGCTCCTGCAAAAATAATGGGTATTCAAATTTGGTCATGTTTGTAATAGAGTAATAGAGTTACTACAAATTAAAATAACCAATACAAGACATTTTCTTGTTGTTGTAAGGGAAAGTAAGGAAAATATAGGGTATTGAAAAATAGAGAAATATAAAGTAGGAATAATAGGGAAATATATTTGAACAACGAATTTAAACTCCAAACGATGCACTAAACTTCAAGAATCAAGCGATCTATTTTAAAATCTCTTAAAATTGATCAAACATCACAATATGAAAATAAACAAATTGTTAAGAAATAAATTTTGAATTCGATTCCCATATAAAATTATTAAGATGTGTAATTAAACGTCGCTTTACTACATGTTTTCAACCTTATTTATTAAGACACCGAACTATGGCATGTAAGTAATTACAAAATTAAATCTATTGTATTTTCCTGATAGTTTTCTGTGGTTTTTTTTTTCGATTAACACGAATAGTACTCACATAGATCGTCTTGGCAATAATGCCACCCGTACTCAGCGACGTGAGGCAGGCAAGGAGTAAGCAAAACGTTCCTATCATAAAGGTCACGGCCATGAGATACTGGAACAGATCCTGCTGGCCCCGGCTGTAATAGCTGCGGTAATCCTGATAGTTATATGCCAGAATACCCACAATGGCGGCACCAATGATCTGCACCAACACAATTCTGGTTAATTTCAATTTAAACGCATTGTTGGGATTTAACTCACCAGCTGAAAGAGCTTGAGAATTCCGGGGAAGGTCTTCAGATAGCCCGTGTTCAGGACGATGTAGGAAGTGTTGGTGGTGCTGGTGGTGGTGCGGGTAATGGTCACTGAGTGCGACATCTTGGCCTTGTTTCGGTGGTTCTTTTGGGGGTGTTAAAGGTGGGGTCTGAAATCGAAAAAATACTAGTTAAGTAATAGAACACAACAATGCTGTCATACCGTGTTTTTTTTTTATATATTCAAAACAATTTTAATTTTGGATACTAACTTTGATAAGATTAAAATTAAGTGAAAGTTTTAAAAATACTTTCAACTAGTCATGTATATGTATGTTTGCCAAGTACCAAACAATACAAGTGCCTGCTTTCTTTGTGGGTGATTCATGCTGTATATATCAACATGATTACGTTCCATAACAGATTCCTCTCCTGATAATCAAAGCTTAACCAAAAATAAAAATAAGCGGTATATATGAGTAAGTCTACTTGTTTTCCAACATCTCGCCCAATATCGTAATTCATATGGCGTGTTTTTGTTCTTTTGGCCAGCTGTTACAGATCGAACGCCCTTGCCACGCCCATCGATCTGCACAGTATCCACACAATGTTTGTGTATTTTTGGCCATCTATTTGTTGCTGTTTTTGTTTTGGATTTTTTCGTTTTTGTCTAATTTTAAAACAATTTTTCAATGCCGGCCTCGGCGAGCGAACGAAACTGGGCAGGCGAAAAAGCGCCAAAAGCGTTATTGAAGCATCAGGCGGCAGTGGGAGAATCGGAATCGGAATCGGAAAAATCTATTTACTTGACCGATCCGGACGGACCCCTTTCAACAAGTCCCCCCCCTTTTCGGGGATCGGCAAGCGAACAGAATAGATAAATCGCTCGTCTATATGTTCGCCTAGGAATGGAGACGGTCAGATGCTTATATATATTCCGTAACGTCATGAACTTTATGGTCTGCTGCCTGCTGTTCGTTGGAAAAGCTAAGAAAAAGCGATCCCGAAATTGGGGCACACACTTAATATGTACAGATGCTGTGGGTGTGGGGTTTAATGGAGAATGTTTGCGAATTCCAGAACCGCTTCATTTCGCCGTTCGATTTGATTAATTCTGTATAGAATATATCTGGAAAGCCGATTGTTAATAAAGACTTTATTCCGACTTCAAACTGTGTCCAATTTGTTTACCATTAAACCAAAAAAAAAAAAACGTTGTAAACAAACAAATAAAACCAGTTTAACGCTGTGCGAAGAAGATAGCTTAAAACAAATAAAACGGAAGGAGTTAGAGTTAAACACACAAAACCTAACACCTTTTATAAATAAACTGATTGAGATTGGAAATTGGCCATTTGGAAAAGTTGTTGATGGACAAATCCAAACCATATAACAAAATAAGTATTAAAACAAATTGAAAGTGTTGAAAAACAAAAATAATAAAATAGATATGTAAATATTTCTAGTCTTTAATAAAGACAATCTTAAATCAGGAATAAAATAAATTAAAGCGGTGCCTAAGAATTTCAAAAATTCTAAATCAAAGTTAAGCAGCCCTGAAAAAAAAACAAACGTGTTTGAAAGTCTCATGGAAAGTGGAATGGGATGGGGATTGGATTTTAGAATTCAGGCCTTCCTCAAAATCGACGACGCATTAGTCAAGTCAAGACGATGACGCCATCGGTGACGCAATAACTTACAGACAATGTTGATGATGATGCTCATCAAAATTCACAGAAGTGATATAGGTATGTACACATTGTGTATATCCCAGGGGCGAGGTAAGGGGTTGATAAGGGGTGTGGCCCCAATTCCAAAGCTTTAAACCGAAACCAAAATTAAAAAACAAAACACAGAACTAGAACTGAAACCATGTGCGACATAAGCGAAAACAAAAAACGAAATATTTTGAATGATGATTGGGCGGCGGATTTCCGCCCAAGAATAATATGATATCACGACTTCAACACATATGCATATGTATGCTAACCAACTTGGGCAACAGGTTGCTTGGGCCCTTAGTTTTTTTTCTCAAAGAACAAGATAAAAGATGAAAAAGGCCGCTTTTACCAATTTCTAAATAACAACATCCAATCAATATTGAAAACAAAACAAAATAAATCAACTTGCTGATAAGAAAATTTTCTTACTGCATTTACCAGCAAACACGATTCGCATTCGTTTCGCGATTTCGAACTCTGGAAATGATATCATCGCCGCCAATAATAATGCAGTTTAATGGCCAAACAGTGAAAATAATTGTAGGAAAAAATAGCAACATTTTATTGCACAGTAAAGTACCAAAAATTTGAAAATCCTCGCGCTTTTTGAATATACAAAAACACAAAAAATAAAATAAAAAAAAAACACATATAGTACTGGCAAAACAAAAGAGTGTTCCTCTATATCTATGGCTTTTGGTGTGGATCTTACTCTTACTTTTCTCAAAATTCGTCGTAGGACTCGGCCAACTGGTTTTTTCTCGCACTATACGACTCTTGTGTCTTTTCGCGCGCACGTTGCAAACGAAACTGAAACCGAAAACTGAAAAATACAAGCGTTTTGGCAGTCGCTGCTTCTGCCTCGATTTTTGCGTCGCAGTCGACGCAGCAGCGAGCGAAAACAAAACAAGAGGTAGCAGAAGGCTTCCAGACGGATTTACTGCGACTCGACCCACCGGATACCCTGGAAAGCACCCGCAATTACCCGAAAATGATAAAGAAAACTTTAGAGACTTGAAAGCACTTTAAAAAGTAGTTCAAAATACTAAATTCTTATTGTACGCCTTCATTAGTTATTTTCGTTTTAAATCACCAGAGACACACACTTACATAACTTACAAATTTTACAATAATATTACAAGCATCTTTTAGCTTAAAATAAAGGGCAGCTTAAGTGCTAAATATTTTTACATTTTCCGTTGTTCTACAAACTATTGTTACTAACCAATATTTAATCTCCACTATCTTTTTTTTTTGTATTAGTATTAAAATTGTTAATCACAACCCACTAAACCACAGGCGATTTAAACATAGTTTGGAAAAACATAATAAACCTAATAATGATTATTAAAAAAGTTTTTAGGACACATCATTTTTATTTTAAAATATTAAAAAAAAACCGCAAAAATTAAAAAAAAGGGTATGAAACATTAATCATCGTTCTAAACTTCCCGAATTGGGAAAGATATATGTTATACATGTTTATTTTATTTGATATTATAACAGGAGATGACACATTTAAATATTATTTAAGACAAGCAAAAAGGAAAGTAAGAGTAAAATAAAAAAAAAAAAGAAGAAATTTACCGAGATTTGGTATTTTTAATATTGGGGATTTCAAGGTAGGAGCTCCGACGTACTCACCTTGGCCTGGTCGATGCTACCCGGAGCTGTCTATGTGCAGGGAATCCGCAAGGCAATTCAGCCAACGCCAACAAGTTGTGCTCAACGAAAGGCGGCGACCGCATTGACTTGACTGGCTATCGCGGTATAAATGACGCCTGACGTCATGATGTCATCGTGTGAGCGGCCGAACGGAGGGGCGGCCAACCTTAATATTTGTAATCTTCAAGTGCAACTAGGCTCCGGCCACGCCCCCTTGACACTGTTCCCTAACCGCCCTCCGATTGGCAATTAAAAAGGAAGTAATTAAACTTGGTAGTCGGTCGCTGGTGGACCATCAAAGCTCCTCAAACTTTTCCTCTGACTCAGCGCCACCTAAATGGAGAGTACACAGAGTGGGTGAAGGCGAAAGAGAGTGCACTGCAAGAAATAAAGGTTCTTGAATTTCATAGAACAACAAAAATATTTTATAATGACATACCAATCTTTTAAGGTCTGTCATCAACTCTCAGTATTGATCAAATAAATTTTATAGCAATTGAGAGTAGGTAATGGAATGAAAAGCAATTTTTTCTTAAAAAATAATTTAATATTAGTTGATATAATAAGTTGCAGATCCTTATTTATAAATGAAACTTAAGCTTATGCTTTAAAACTACATTGATTGAACTGTTTTTAAATATTTTTATTATATACAATTTTAAGAAAAAAACAAAAACATTTTAAATACTTTTTTAATTCGTCCTATTTTTTGGGGCTTTAATTTCAAGCCAAATAATTTTTTTCTCTGTGTAGCAGTAACATTTTGAGAGAGGGCTATGAGTAATGCAGCAATAGCGAAGATGCCGCCGCTCCAGTGGGTGGCAGTTATCAGCCAAATAGCTTTTATCAATAACACAAATGAAACACAATGAATGAAAAAACAGAGCTGCTCATCAAGCTGGTAGCGTAATGCATAAGCAATGCGGATCGCCTTCGGAGGAGAACCTTAAGGCATGCAAATACTCACCATGAGTAATGGGCAATTTATAGAGACAAGGCATCAGAATCATGTCCACTGGATGGATGGGGGTCAATTATTAGGTTCTACTATGCATAAAAGTATTATTCAACTTAAAACTTCATTTTAAGTAGATTGTATAATTGGTCGAATGCCTTTACCTAAAATAAAATACAGTTTAATATTTAAATAAAAGTTTGCTTTATAATCGAACATTTAAAATCAAAGGTTTTGCTTCGTAATTTAGTTTTTTTAACCTTTTTTATGAACTCTGCAATTTATGTATTTAAAATAATTTCATATTTAAGCAATAAAATACAAAATTTACCGGGAAAGGGTAAATTTAATTACAGAATCGTAAGTAACACTTGCTTGCCTTTGACCCAAATATTAAAAAGTCTCTGAGAAAAACATTTAAAATGTTACCAACCTTAAAAGCCTACCTTCTTCTTCCATTTTAGGATAAAAATAGGTTTGCCGTTACCCATTAACCACATAAGGGAAACATTAGCACTTTTTATTTAATTGCATTGATCACTGGTTGAATGAATGTTCGACATGTCGGCATGCATATCGTGATTATGAATAGTTGTGGGCGAGGCGAGTGATTTCTTTTCGGGTGGATTAATGCATTTGCTTAGTACATGCAAGTATCGTCAATTTATTTAATATGTTTATCTTCCTTTCGTTTGAAGAACATTTAAAGAACATTTTCTGATCTGTTTGCAATCAGATAATGACGTAGGCCTATGTGAATCAATTTTGATGCGAAAACCACTTTCAAATGTATGTATTTAAGCTTTTCAATTTCTTCAGTAGCTTAATGTATCGCAAAAAAGGTTTTGGAAATGCGTGAGGTAGCAGTTCAACTTTTATCAGCGCTTTTTTTGTGAAAGATCCTTACTGAGGCACTCATTGAGAGATCCTGTAAAAATGCAAAACACGTTAAAATATAATACATTTTTTAAAAACTTATTTGAAGGATAAGAACAGCATTTTCTTTTTTTTTTTAAGAAGAAAACAAAAATACAACAATTCTAAATTATTTTGGTACAGTAGAAGTGTGCTCTTCTGGCGCCACTTTAGGTTTAAATTTAATTTTTAAATTTAATTTATTTAGTTGAATCAGAAAACTTACAACATTAACATTTCTTATAAGTACTAGGTACGTTAAAGTGTTGGCAAAAGACTATTCTTTGTTTAGATAAAAATTTGAATTTGCATTTATAAATACAATTAAAATTAATTTTATAAGGTATTAATAGCGAAAACTGTTAGATTCTCGACGGCTTAAGAAAATAGAAAATTAAGTGGAATGTTATATTATTCCATTTGTTTGAGTTCACTGTTCAGAATGTAGCGTTCTCACAAATTGTGTATTGTGATGAATGAAGTTGTTGCTGTGACTACGCTCCAAATCCCCGTTATCAGTTAATTGCTTCCAAGATGCCTAGAGTATCTGTAATCTAAATAAAATTGATTATTATTATGTTATTTGCAAACAAATATATATTCACAAACCCTTTATAACTTCGGGGAAACATTCGTCACCAGCTGGAAATCGGAAATGCCAACGCAGATCTGTTTGCAACCTGTTTTATATGGTGGTACAGAAAAAGAACCGAACAAGGAACGCGAAATCGCTGTCGAGAGATCGGGAGATCGGGTGGCGGTCAGAGGACGGGAGTCCCCCGGTAGCTCTGGCGGATCGTAAGCTCGAGAACAAATGGCGAAAGCTCGGATCGCTGGCGGTGATAAAACCGGCTGGGTTGATAAGCCGCCGAGAGCAGTTCTCATCCGGCATCAGATCTTTGCACACAATGTTTTCCGCTCGCATTGGTTCGCTATTTTTGGTGGTGGCGATGGTGGCTGCGATTCTAGTGATAGTGGGCGCCGGAAAGCCGCGTCATCGGGCGGACAATTGTCCGACCATCAAGCTGAAGCGCCAATGGGGCGGTAAACCATCGCTGGGCCTCCATTACCAAATCCGTCCCATCCGCTACGTGGTCATCCATCACACGGTCACCGGCGAGTGCAGTGGTTTGATTGAGTGTGCCGATATTCTTCAGAACATGCAGAATTATCATCAAAAGGAGTTGAACTACAATGATATCAGTTACAAGTAAGGATGGCTTAATAGGCAATATTCTTATGGGCATGCATGTAGAGGCAACGCTTTACTTTTGGACTAAGTTTTAATTACTTTAGATCTTACTTAGCATAAGAAGTATCTTAAAAATATCTCAGGTTTTTGGTTTATAAGATGAACTAAGACGGTAGGCTAGTTCTGAATTGAACTGGGACAAAGGCTTTAAGGTCTAATAACTTTAGTTTAGGTTTAATATATAATTAAAAATAGAAACGGTATTTTTAAGAAAGGGCTATTAAATACTAATTTTAAGACACTGCAATATAAAAGCGTTGTTCTAGTGGGTTTGCAAGTAACTACCTACCCGAGTAAACAAAGGTTTAAAGTTTAATACTAAAAAAAAACTAGTTTGTAGTTTTTATTTAACATACAGCATATATTAAGGGCTATTAAACACTTTTTTTTTAAGCCACAGCAATAAGAAAGCGTAGTTTTAGTGCGTTTTTAAGTAACCACCTACTTGAGTAACCGGCGATCTCTTACAGCTTTCTGATTGGCGGTGATGGCATTGTTTACGAGGGCACTGGCTGGGGATTGCGAGGAGCCCACACCTATGGCTACAACGGCAATGGCACGGGCATAGCCTTCATCGGGAACTTCGTGGGTGAGTTGCTGTGAGCTGAGCATCTCCTGCAGATGGAGCACTACAAGTCCTCAATTCCCGACAGATAAACTTCCAACGGATGCGGCTCTGCAGGCGGCCAAAAGTCTTCTAGCATGCGGGGTGCGACAGGGGGAGTTGAGCGAGGATTACGCCCTGATCGCCGGTTCCCAGGTGATTAGCACCCAGAGTCCAGGACTGACGCTTTATAACGAGATCCAGGAGTGGCCGCACTGGCTCTCAAATCCCTGAAATTCCACAAACATAAACTCTGTTCGTTGTGGCGAAAGCTTCGATAACCGATTGACGGGCAGCTGGGATTTACAGTTATTAATGGCCTTCCAATACACTTCAATTAAAACAACGGATACTTTTGTGCATTCAACTTTAATGTAATGTGTAAATCATAATTAAACTATAAATAATAAAAGACCACAAATAAACATTTCTGCACATTTAACTAATGCTTTAAAAGACAGCAAAATAAAATCTCTTGGATATTAATAAAAAAAAAAAAAAAAAAAAAGATTTTTAAAACTATAATTTGAAAGCTATGCGAATAAACTACAAATATATTCACTTAATTTGAGAACAAAATCCAAATTAAAAAAATTACTTATGTATGTGTTGACCTCTAAAGAAAAGCCAATTAAAAATTAAAGTTAATAAAAATATAGACAAATTGTATATCCTGAGAATATTTGTTTCTGAGCTTTCCTGTTGCTCTCAAACAGCAACGAATATTTCCTTTTTAACTGAATATAAAAAACCACCCTATTTAAATTGATCAGTTATTCCTTGATATTGGAATTTACGTTCCTAAACTTACGTTCCTAACCTTACGTTTTTAATTGCACGTTTCTAACCGATATTAATCCGATGATTTTTGGGTGCAACTCTAAAGTCTTGGCGCAATTGAATTTAAATGGCGTGCGGCCATCTTTGTTTTCGTGTACTAGAGGCGTTGTCGAAGGTGAAGTGGAGGCTTGGGAGTTTTACGATATAATAGATATAAGCCATTATTTAAACGTTCAGCTTACCATTTAACCACTAACAAATAGCATTAAAATGAAATAAAAGCCGCCTAAGGGAATTCTTAAAGAGTTTAATAGATTTAGAGACCCCTCGCAAAAAATTCAGCATACGCAACTGTGACTTTTAAAGGACGGCGGATTGCCCAATCCCAACCGTTTTGCTAATTCAAAATGGCGTCTTCAAGCTTATCGATAACGGATCAGCTTGCCATGTGCTTTTCATTTGGATTCCAGTGCGGTAAGAATAAGGTGTGAAATATTTGCGATCAAAAATTGGCCATCAAATGGAGGACTTCGAGAAGAAAAACTGCTCCAGCTCAAGCAGCAATGCAAAGGATGTCATCCGCCCGCTGGTGGAAGACAATTGCTCCGAATTTGAGATGGCCCATGCCAATTCGCAGTCGGCATGTTCAAAGATAAACAAAATGATCAAACTGCATTTATTCACAAAAAGTTGTATTTTTTTTTTTTTTTATTGAAATAAATAAACGGCTGCTTTTGAGTAGGTTTTGTTTTTTTATTTAATATTTTTCTACCTGTTTTTTTTTTTTTTTGTGTGTCATAATTTACAAAAAGTTTTCGGTTTTGGTCATAAAAATATATATGAATATATAGATAGTAATATATGCATGACAGCGGTCTTTATACTTGGATACAAAAGTTAAGAAACTTTTGAAACACTTTGCTGGCGAAAACAACTTAGCGGGTTGATTAAACCATAGTTTATATGGAAAACGCTACATATAGAGTTTGGTGTTTACTGGTTGATTGCCGCACTTAAGTTATCCCGTTTACTTTTTCTCTTCAAACTTATCAACTAGGGTCTTGCTACTAACTTTAGGCCAGAGAAAATATAGTAAAAAAAAATTTAAAAATCCGTTGCATAGGAGTGACAAGAAACTTTAAAGTCAACAATAGCAATCAAGCATCAAGCAAATAATAACTTTTACATCCTGTCCTGCATTTTAAGTTTTATCTTTTATGTGGAAAGAGAAATGGGGTGAAATTCGCTTTTCCATAAGATAAAATTGGAAATGCAAGCAGTAATGACTTTTATCTATTTGAGATATCTATCAGCTATGTTTTGCGGACTTTAAGAGGTTTTTATTTGCCCTCCTCCTTCCGTAGATCGATCGGAAACGGGTCTTAACTACGGCTCGACCTTTCTGGGGATCGGGATGTGCTGGGGGAACTGCCCCCGTCCTCCTTTCCTCAGTCGTCGCTCTCCTCGAACGTGGGACTGCTGGGCGAGTAGGCCGGACTTGTGGGACTGTAGTGTGATGGCGCCGTTGGAGAGTACATAGGCGACGTGGGCGAGTAATTGCGGGCCGTGGGCGTGTACGTTGGCGAGGTGGGCGAGTACTTGGTGCTGCTCGGCGAGTAGATGGACATGTTGGGGGAGTACCTCGGACTCGTCGCCGAGTATGTCGATCCTGTGGGACTGTATTGGTTCGAGGGCGAGTGCTGTGGCGAGCTCGGCGAATAGAGCGGTGAGGTCGGCGAGTACTTGGGCGAGGCCGGCGAGTACTGCGGCGATCCTGGTGTATATTGCGGTGACCCAGGCGAGCCATCGTACGACGGTGATGGCGGCGAGTACGTGGGCGATGTCGGCGAGTACTTCACCCCCGTCTGAGAGTAAGCTGGCGAGGCCGGTGAATAATGCGGCGAGGCTGAGTAGTTCGGACTGGTCGGCGAGTAAGAGGGTGTAACGGGTGTATAGTTCGGACTCGTCGGCGAGTACGAAGGCGACGTCGGCGAATAGCAAGGCGATGTAGGTGAGTACGAAGGACTCGACGGCGAGTAGGATGGTGATGTCGGCGAGTAGGACGGTGAATTGGGAGAATAATTGGACGAGCTGGGCGAATACGCATTGCCCGGCGAGTACATGTTGCTACCGCTGCCAGCAAATGACGGACTCGACTGGAAATGCGATGTGGGCGAGTACACCGGAGATGTTGGCGAGTATCCAGACGAAGATGGCGAGTAACCCGTCGACTGGGGATTGAAGTTAGGCGTTGTGGATGCATACCGAGGACTTGCAGCCGCATATAGCGGCGATGTCGGCGAATAGTTCGGACTCGAAGGCGAGTAATTGGGCGAGGCTCCGCCGGGCGATGAGGCCGTGTAGTTCGGACTTGTTGGGGAGTATGAGGGAGACACGCTCGGCGAGGCCGGGAAGTACGGTGACATCGAGGGACCCGGTGAACTGGGCGATGAGCCCGGATGAGCTGGTGACCAGCTGGGCGACATACCGGAGGCATCCGAGGCCGCCGAGGGCGAGAAACTGGGTCCGCCGGGAGTCATGGCGCTCACTGCGAACACAAAAAAGAAAGAGAGGGAAAAGTTTAGTTGCGGATATCGAAATAAGTGGACCATATTTTCAAGTATACGATTTAAAGGTATTTGTTATTTAGTTTCTGTTATTATCGTTACATAATTAATATGACAAATTGGCTTTTTAAACACTAAATAAAATAATTCGAAAAATGACTTGTAAATTGAAACTACAACAGAAATTATAAGACAAGAAAAGTACTCACCATGGCCTGGTGGCGAGAAGTAACGCGGCGTGTTGCAATTGACCCACGGCGTCATCGGTGGCGTCATGCTCGGCGTCGATCCGCCGCCGATGAACATGGCGGCGCCGCCCAGCATGCTGCTGCCCAGCGTGTTGGGGATCTCGATGCCGAAGCGACACTTCTCCGCATCGAGCAGCAGGTCGAAGCAGCCGGTGCCCATCTTGGGCAGCTGGCCCATAATGATGTTCTCGGACACACCCCTCATGGGATCCGTTTCCGCGTGGGCGGCGGCATCCATCAGCACGTCCACCGTCTCCTCGAAGGAGCAACGCATAAGGGCACCGGTGTCCTGCCTGTTGATGCCGTGACGGGTGATGGCCATCAGATGGCCCTTGGCGGTCATCACGTCGCACAGGAGGGCCAAGTGGCGGTAGTTCACGTACAGGCCGTAGAACTGCAGCACGGCGTTCATCTCCTTCTCGACGGACTTTCGCACCGCCTC